CAAACATACACAAAGTATGTTTTGGACCCCATAATGCTGTGATTTCCCATTCATTTGAACTGTATGCTGTAAAAATGCCATCAGATCATGGATCTACTTTCTTACAGAGTGTTAATATAATTGTTAATTATAGGAAAGATGTGATGCAGCAGCATATTGAAAAGAGGAATTTCACAAAATTCAGTAATAGGAGATATCATGAGAAGTCTGTCTGGTGTAAGAAATACTGCACGAACTCTTCCTTTTGTAACTGAGTGTTATCTGGACTGAACTACGTTGAGTTCTGGAGGCTGGCCTGATCATTATTACTGAAATACTGCTGACTGATGGATTGAAAACTAAGGAGGGGAGGGCATTTTAATTTCTCTACTGTTTTACTGTGAACGCATACAGGTTCCTGTTTCTGTAACCCCATTCAAATTAAATAAAGAAGAATTTTGCCATTCACTTCACAACAGTCCTTTGTTCAAGCCAATGTGCCTTCATAATTGAAGCTGAGTTGTATTGCATTTTTTTTTATACTTAGGGATCCCTCATGCACCTGCTGTTTGGGGTTTGGATCTTAAACTGTGTTTTGGCAGAGCATAATGTCAATAGCAAGTAAAAAGATGATGTCATTATGATGGTATTATTGACTTGGAAGTTAATTGAAGACATTGTTTTCATAGACAACACAAAGTGATATCCAAGCCAAAAATTTCACATCTCTTATCATTAAAAAAAAAAAAAAAAAAAGTGTTCTCAGACATTTGAGACCAGCTGTTCCTATGCATCCAGCTGCTCCCCACCCTGACTTGCATATTTTATATATCCCAGAAGGCATTTAAAATCTGCAGCATCACTGTTGAGTTTATTGCACTATTAACTTAAAAACTGCATCAACTGTTGTGTGGTAGTTAAGTAGAAAATTTACGGTGAATGGGTTATTGTTGCAAGAAAAGAGAGTACTGCTCTCCTTCGCTAACATTCTAGGAGACATAAATGCAATTTCATTCATTTTTGGTAAGCAAAATATGAACAAAAGTTTTTTTCACTCATATAAGATATTTGCATGCCTTCCACCTGTAACTAACTGGCCTTTCCAATGCAATTGCAAAATGAAGGAATTAACAGTGAACATACATTCTTTCCAGCATAACTGGGCACTTAGGCAGAGTCACATAAATAAAAGTTACTGGGTGAAGAATGAGAAAAAAAAAATAATGTTACAGCTGTAGGGGCAAATACTTGCAAATATTTCAGCTGGTATATACCTAGTAGCAAGTGTAACAGACTTTCTTGACACGTTAGTTTAATTTAATACCTTTGTGTTTTTTGTACTTTTCATTATTACTGTATTATATTATTACTAATATACTCCTGCAAAATTTCATTCACAGTGTAAGCGAAATTGGGACTTTCAAGCCTCAGGCTTTGAAAAAGAGAAAGGACAAGGGATATTCCTCTGAGAAGCAGTTTTGATGTACAGCCTCTTACTTGTAGGGTGCACGTGTGAATTTTCTTAAATGTCTGGCCAGTCATGCTAGATAAGAAGAAAGATACATGGAAATACGCCTTAGCCCATTTTATTTCTCTTTAGACATTTGAAATTTGTGTGGATGACAACAGGGAATGAGAATCCTGGCTTTCTGCAGAAACTGGGTCTGAAAATGCATGCAGGCAAGGAAAGGTAAAATGATCAGCTTTGAGCCCCAAAGTAACAATGTTTCCATCTAAAATACTCTGTGGTGGTAAGTCTCACACACTTATCAATGAGCGTAGCACTGCCATGTTCCCATTGCAAATCAGCTCAAGTAAGATTTAAAAAAGGATGGATTTTTTTTTCTGAGATGTTCCAAACCAATTTTGATTTATTCAAGCACAGTAGAAGCACATTTCACCTACAACATCAGGAAAAAGGTACAAGGAACTGCAAAGCACATATAGAAGGATCATGCAGCAACAACAGTAGATGTAGCAATATTCTTGATGAAGTAATAACTTTGGGGTTTTTTTTCCTAGGACACTTCTTTCCCTTTCCATACTCTTTTAGCAGTGTTCATGGGATAATTATTATAGTTTAAACTTTGTCCTCTGCAGGTACAATACCTGGCTTTCACAGACTCACACTAATCCATGTCGTGAAGCAAAGGGCAAGACCCTGCAGTGCCAGCCTGATAAATGACTTGATTGGCATTTCTTCTTCTACTCGAGTGGAAGGCTTTGGATTGGACATTGAATTCTCATAGTGTTGTATTTATATTTGCAAAAGCGATCACAGACTTGGCTAGCAGCCCTGAGGAAACAGGGCTGTGGAGCAACACCCAAGTGGTTGTACTTTAAACCTGAGATGGTAGAGTTCTACAGAAATAAATACCTGTATTGCATAACACTGGAAAGGTATTTTCAGGGATTTTTTTTTTTTTTTTCTTTTATGGATATGGCAAGACTTCAAAGCTCACTATTAGTGTTTCTAAAGTCCCAATCAGAACATGCTTCAGCCTCTTTCTTTCATTCTCTCTTCACTTTCTTCTGTTTGCTTTTGTTGTTTAGCACTTCTTTAGAAATAGTCTAGCAAACTTCTTTAAATACAGTAATGCATATGTGGAAAGTGAATGTGGCTCTTGTTGAACTGAAAATTTACACTCAGAATCCTATTTTTAAGTATTGTAACTCTTGAACTTAGGGCATCTATGGCAAGTAAATATTGCCATTATTATTAGTGTGGGCGTGATTTATTGTCCATCCCCATCGCAGCTACCACACGGCTAGCTGTGCAAGCTCCAGCATAAGGTATTGTACAATTATGTCATCCCTGCACAATGTACAACATACTGCCTGTGGACCCCTTTAAAGTTAGAGTCTAGAGCATGAATCGTGTCAGCTTCTGGTTCAGTATGTCTCCCTGAAGTGGTCACCTCACCTCCTGATTCTGCAGAGAACATGCTATGAGGTCCTAGCACTAAGGCAGTACTAGTGCCCCAATAGCCCATACTCTATGTCTCTTTGTTTCAGTACCAACATCAGGCATCAACATTGCTCTGGCATTCACAATTCAACACTTATGCCATATGCTGCCCTGTATGACCTGCTGCAGGTGAACCTGATGCATCCCTGCCGCCTTGTACTCCTCTGGCTCCTGGTCACATACCCTGGTAGCATTTTTCCTTTCCCAGCAAAAAGTTAGTGAATGTAGTGGGTTTAGTCTGGGATTGCAGGGAAGCTCTAGTGAAGGTGGGAAGCCTTTTGTCTGGGCCAAAATCTCTTAGGTCCAGGTGGCTCCTGCAGAGATCACATTAGCAAGGAAATGGGAAAACAATGAGTGTAGAAAAACATGCTGCCCCACCTTACCAAAAACCCCTGAATTTCTCTTTTCTAAAACTTTATTAGGAGCATCTGCCTCATGTAAGATTTGACATTATTGCCACCAGAAACTTTCCCTCCTTGTTGTATATTCCAGGTCAGCAACAGACAATGCAGGCACAACACAGCAGCAAACAACTGCTTTCCAATCATTCCACTAGGCTACAGCTAAATTCTTAAGTAACATTTAACTGGAATCTAAACTGGAGTTGAATCCTAAATTCTGGTCTTCCAAACTAGAAACTGATGAAAAAAAAGAGAAAGATGCAATTCAGAAAATATTTTATTGAGTACAATACCATTTCATTGTAGGCTTTCATCAAAGGTCTACTTTATAAAACACCACCAACCTCTCTGAGGTTGAATACAGCTTGGGCAGGTGCACAAGGAACAGGAGAGAGGGGCAGCATCTGCAAATTTTCATGCAATTAGCATAATATGGGATATTTGCATCCAGACGGTACCTTGTCATAGTGCCCAAGCTTGCACCATCTCACCAGAAAAAAAATTAATGAATCTACATTTAAATTATATAAAGGATTGTAACAATCAATTACAAATTCAAATTTACAGAATGCTGCCACCGCACATTCAATGGCCAAACTCAAGCTCATAAAATGAAAATTAGGAGCTCAGAATGAAAGTAGCATAGTAAGCATCACATGGAAACAGGATTAACTGACTCCAGAAATTGCTTGCTAACAAGACATCATAACTACTGTTACACAAGAAGAGATGTAAATTTTACCAATGTACCAACATCTAACTTCCATTTGTAGCAGATGGAAGACCATAAAAGTTCCTGGAATTGGGGTTAATCCCACAACACACAAGTCTAATCAAGACTTGGCATCATGGTTCTTGGAAGGAGATTAAATGAACAGTAGTCCATGGGCAATTTTCAATTGCATGAAGCAGCTGCTCAACTCATAGAAAACAGCCTTAAATGGGGTACAAGTGTGCTAATATTTATATGAATGAAGTTGCCACTTATTGGAATGTAGACCAACTAATTTTTCTGGTGTAAGCGTTCATTTTTAGTAATGGCAAAGCATAAATGTGCTATAAAACGTAGGAACAGTCATAAGCAACCTTGCAAGTGTCCCTATATTGCTTAAATTCTTCTTTCAACCCTCCTTCTTTATGAAGTATATATACATTCAGAGACTGTAGGAAGTTTTCAGGCTGACCATATTTCTGCAGCTAACTCTGGATTTTATGAGCTGGTCCCAACACAATCTTCAAAAATCTGCCATGAAACCTGCACTGTACTGCCAAAGAATTTGAGGAGTACTTTTTATAACATTAAATACAAAGGTAAGTACAGCAGTTAATATGTCATATTACATAGATACTTCCATTGTCCTTTAGGTGTGTATGTCCCAACGTGTATAAGTACTACCACTTTATCAGGAAATAATTTTATAAAGCAGGATGGAACAATTTGCTAACTGCAACAATATCTTCAGATGAGAAAGAAATTATTAAACTACATTTTAAAGCAAGAAAAGTGGAAATGTAAAGTTTAGCATATTCATTAGGAATTAGAGGAGAAAGTCCAGAATAGTCCAGAAAGGCCAAAGTATTCAAATAATTCTGAAGATTTCTATTGAAATGAATTTCTTCTTAAAAAGACAATGCATTCTCAAGACAGCATCTTCTGCAGTGAAATAATTTAGTTTCTTCATATAGACACATCATACACAATGTTAACAACCATGAAAAACAATACAAAATGCTTTCAAATTTAACAAGTAGAAAAATATAACTAGTATATATATGGCAATTGTGAATCTAATACTGTACAGAAGTATTTATGGATTTTACAAATAAATTATAGGTTAAATGCCCTTTTTAAAATTTCTAGATGTACACTGGAACATAAGTTCTGAAAGTTACCACTAACTTGCCACAAATGAGTGCCAGTCAAATGTTCTGCCCACAAGCTCAAAAAATTTCTTGTTGGGTTCATGGAAATATTCATGGAGTTTCTCAAGTAATCGGGTATCTACTTGTGGATGTGCTCGTCCTTTTGACTCATGTAAACAACGCTCCCTACCACTGTCCCTTAGGCAGTAGAAGCCTTTAGTTTTATTGAAATAAAAGTTTGAAGCATTTATCTGTGGCGATAACTTCAGAAATCTCTCTACCTTCTCTACTTCTGGGAAGGGATCTTTGATTAGTTTATCCCCATCTACAATGTGGATACGATCAAGAGGAAAATACTTCAGCCAGTTTTGCATGTGAATGTAGTATAAGCTTCTGTTTATTGCCTTGTAGTCCACATTGAGCTCACCATCTTTAACCAGGAACTGTTCAATGGATGGATACGGCTTGTGCTTCTGCATGTGATTATAGAACACTTGGGTGTAATCTGATAGTACTCTCTCACTTGGGTCTCTTAAAATAAGGAGTAGTCTCATTGATTGGTTCATGTTATAAACTCTTTCAGGCACTTTAGGTGATGTGAAATATGCTGGAGTTTTTTCCACGGTGATCTGATGGGGATAAGAGAATGGCATTTGATTAATATACCACTGCAATCCATTTCTGTAGTGATCTTCCCAGTCAAAGAAGTGAACTTCACTTTCTGCTGCCGCAATATCTGGATGGAGACTCAACATCTCTAACAAAGCTCTTGTTCCACCTTTTCTCACTCCAATAATGATAGTTTGTGGCAGCTGCTGGCATGATCCATTAGAATGAATGTTTTCCTTGAAGTCATTTTTTTGAGATGTTTTCTTTAAAAGCTCTCTCTGAACAGACTGGGAAGTTGTCTCAGCTTTTGAATTTATAGCCGGTCTGGAAGGCACTATCTGAGGTTGAACGATAAGCAACACAGCTCCCAGCAGAAAAGCTGCCATGACAGAAGTTCTCAGTCTGGTTTCACTCAAGCAGGTAATGGGGCATAGAGTGATTTCCACCGAGAACAACCTTTAAAAGTTGTTTTTGTTTTGCCGAATGAACACGTATTTCTCAAACAGAAGCTTTGCTGAAAGAGGGAGAAGAAAAAGAAAAGCAGCACATTATTTTATACTCAGACATATCACTACTAAAGCCACACCGTATCTTTTGCTTTTCACAACTAAACAAACTTCTTTAGCTTTCCCAACTCTAGGCTCATAGATCATTTGGTATAATTAAATTCTTTAAAAGACAGGCGAATACAATAATGCCATGAGAAAATGATTTCCAGTCATCAGGAGACATGAACATTCTGAATCTTTCTCTTGCACCTAAGATTCATCTGGAGTATTATTTTTTATTATTTTTTTAAAATCTGATTTCATTGGAGTTGAACCACAATCACAAGAGAATTAAGTGCTTTTTTTATCTCCAAGAACAGGTTTATCTTAGGAAAAAAAAAAAAAAGAAAAAAAAAACCATAAAAAGGAAAAGGTGTGGACTGGACCAAAAAAGCATTCTTAAAAGCTGAGGGTCTTGTAGGAAGTCTGGGACCTAAAGGTCCTAAAGGACCCTCTGACAGCAACCTTAAAAGTAAAGCTTCCTGGGAAAAAGGCTCAGGCAATATAGACAGAGCTGCCCAACTGTGGGAAGGTAACGTTTCTCCTAGGAAGGGTGAGTAGTAGACCAAGAAAAAGTTGAAATGTTGTGTCATTTTTAAGTGAAGTTAACATTTGCTTTGTGCTTAGGGTTTCTAAGGGTAGAGTCAGGTGGTCTGCATTCTGGCCTTGCGAGAAGGTAAGATACTGAAACTATAGACTATAGTATGACTACATCAACAAAATGCTAGAAGAGCTGTGGTCCCAGTCATGATATTCTGGAAAGAAAATACACAATGGGTACTCCTGAAGGTCATTTTGAGAGTTAGCCAGCAAGCTACTGTGATGTAAACAACTAGCTTTGCATGTTATCAGAAGACTACTAAATACCACCACTGAACTCCATCTAAAGGTCAGGGGTGTTTTTAATGCAATGTTTGAAGTGAAATCTTAATGGCCTCACACATAGCATAGCTGTTAGATTGTCATGTTATGAGCAGGCTGTGTATACAAGCTCCCTAAATTAAGACACCATCCAAAGACTATAACCTCAGTGGAGGGCTGGTGTGAGTATGATTTTGGTATTGTCTAACTCCACTTAGAAGTGGAAGCCACGACAGCAGAGCACCTGACTGCTTTGCCTTAGTAGGCTACTGTAATTATGATTTTAAGCTTGGAACGGCACATACTGTACCAGCTAACAAGGGCTGAAATATGAAATTACATACGAACAACCTGAGGAAATACAAGGGCTAGGTTTTGGAAATTCTCCAGAGAATCTGAAAAGAAACTAATGACTTTTCCACAATAAGCTAAGTCCCAGTGTGACAAGGACTAATGATGTGTTTCTCGAGTGATCTAGAAAGTTTTGTTTGATAGCTTTGCATTTACAGAGGTCATGACTCCATCCTGAATGGAGCAGGTCTGCTTCCTGATGTTTGCTACTGATTATTATTTTTATGCTTTCCCTTTTTTTAATCACTTTTAAAGGGCTACAAGGCAGAGATATTGTTAGGAAGCAGAAATCAAGGCTGGGAGAAGAGGGAAGCAAAGTGTCATGATAGATGTGAAGTCAAAAGAGTATGTGCTTCCCTGTGTGCCTGCAGGCTTTGAGCTCATGGGCATGCCCTGTCATGGCCAGAAGGTCATGTCCTGGGCTGTTCTGTGATGTTTAATGTGAGGCAAATTTGCAGAGGAATTTGTTTCCTCTTTCTTCCGTTTTTGGTCACTGTTAAATTTTATCTGGCTGAAAGAGCTCCATTTTGGCTGTCGTCATTAATCTTCTGTTCTCCTTCCCTGTCCTCACCATTCCTGTTAATCTTTCTCAGATTAAGCTACTTCAGTTTTAAAAAGAAATAATCTTAATTATTAGCCCCACACTGAGGATGTTGATGGGGGAACACTGAGTGACAGACAATTGATGGTGAATGTCATAGTCAGCAGCAATGCGAGCAAATGGTACAGCACCAGCCGGATCGGATCAGAGACTGATGGCAGCTCAGTACATAAGAGTAACAAAACATCAACTCTTGATGAATTTTAAGGTCACAGATTAAAGGAATAGCCACTTACTCTAGAGTATATTTTAAGAGTCACTATCTCCATAAATAGTAAGCCTGAGTTGTTGTCTTAACACCTTACTGGAAAAGCATAATAGGATTTCAGCGAGGAACAGGTTGAACTGCTGTTGAAAGAAGTTAAAGCCTAATGGTAAGAACCCTTATTGCTTAGCAGTCAGACTGAAATATGCTATGCTGAGAGCCAAGTTCTATGATAGACTATCTCTGGAAAGATTAACTTTTAGGTGCTGGTCACAGATATTAGTGACAACACACTGCTGACATGATTTTTTTTTTTTTTTTAAATGAACTATATATACACCAATTTACTGGGACTGTTTTGTTTTTAACTCATAGTTTGCATACTACTCAGTTGCCAACTTTTTTATTCAAGTCTTCCCTTGGCTAAGTATAGCATGTAAACATTTTGGGGGAATAAAAGACACAGCAAAGTGTCTCTAACTGTAGCTCTACCCTTCTTTTGGCTGGCATTGCTCTTCAAAATCAGACTTGGGGGATATTACAGGCGTGGTACCAATGGCCTCACCTCAGCTAGCTTTTTGAGCCTCAGTGGAGCTCTGCCACAGTGTCTTCTCACTTTAAACTCATACTTTTTTGGGGATAGCTTTTTCTAAAAAAAACACAGAAGCAACTGTTTTCTGTTGCAACATGAGACCTCAGAATAACATGGGAGTGTCTTCTATTTCAGACATACAGAATTTCATCGATCCTCCCCAATTCTTTGTGCAGGTGCACATCAGATGTGCATCAGGTGTTCTTACACTGCAGAACACTGCTACAGTATCTGTAACATTTACTGTCTTTATGCACACACAACAAACCATATCAATAATTATGCCATTTGAAGTACCTATATGCTATTGTTGTTTTACTTGCAAGCAATAAAGCTTTGTCTGCCTTTCCATTCTCTTTTTTTTTTTCTCTCAAACTGTACAGGTCTGATATCTGGATCAATTCTTTTATTGTGTTAGACTAATGCAACACAATGGACATGAGTGTGCCTCTAAACTCAGCAGAAAACATATGTTGTGTGGGCAAAGTGGCGTCCAAGAATAAAACTGCATATAAATTTGTTGTCATCCACCATTCTTCTCTTATATCCTCTTTAACGCTTTATGCGGATCTGCAGTTTGGTGGCTAGAATTACAGCAGTTGATATAAAATGATGCAAACATGTATTCCATATCTTTTTAATTTGTAGGTCCGAAAAACTGTTTCAACAATAATAAGCATGCACTGAAGAGTTTATAGCAGCCACTCTGCCAAATTACTTTTCTGCTTTAAGAATTCTCCTCACTGCCTCCACAACTCATGCAGAGCATACATGACTTCACTCAATGACTTTGTATTCCAGAAGAGTACAAAAATTTAACTGACAGTCATTACTATTGTATTTGCTACAAATAAACGAGCAAGTTGGTAAAAGAACCACAGTTTATGTTAAATGGTGCTTTAAAGATTATACCAAGACTTTTCAAAAGTCTGATTGCTTTTGCTTAATCTTTTCTTCAGCTTTCTCCAATTAATTAGCACAATGTGCCACACTGTTTATTCAACAAGATTCAGTGTTGACATTGCCAATCAAATCAGCTTTCATGATTAAAACCTCTTCAAAAGTAATAGTAACTCGGAAATAAATAGCAGCTTTTTTCAGCAAATGCAGCGTGAGGGCCATAGCTGCCATATTTCATCAGCTTTTAAGCATATTACAGTGCTCTTTGAAACATGTCACTATTTCATGACTTCTAACTCTTACCACATTAACAAGGGATTTTACTGCCTCTGTACGTTTATCCTCACTCAGTGCCATGGCCTAAACTACCTAGATTATATATAATTTTTAGTTTAATTAGCATTAACAAAATAAGGTAGTTTTTGCCTGGACTGGTAGTTTTTGCTGGGGGTGGATTTAGCTCTGAACTTCCATAAAAGCCTTCGAGTCAGCTGCTGGCAAATCTGACGGGGATACTTCACAAAAAAACCCAAACCCACAGCACCACCGTGAGAAGTTTAGCAGAACTAATGGGACACAGCTACTGCCAGAACAGTAACTGGGAGAGGGATGACTATATCCTTTCCAGGAACATGCAGGTGAGTTCACCTTCATTAGAGAAAAGCCATGTTTTTATGGTTCTCTAGGGACTGAGGATGAACAGGTTAAGTTTCAGATGCCCTCACTTGCTCTCCTTGCAGAACTGAAGCCCTGCACTGGAGAGATCTTTGCACAGCCATCACAGTCTGGCCTGAATCAGAACCATAGATCAGTTGCTGAAGTTTGTCTCTAGAGGGAGATTAGAGCTGAAAATCTGAGAGAGACATTCTGTTCTTATAAAGTATGTTTAGTTCTGCAGATGCAACAGAACCTCAGGACAGTTTGTGGACTGTGTTTCACTTTGTGAATATTTGGGCACTCAGTATTGCAAAGTATAAGACCAACATTGCTGGTTAAGACTAGGTGTGCAGTACAACCCACACATCTTCTATGCTCGCTTCTTATATTGGGGGGGGGAATAAAATCTATAACTGAGGTAACCAACTCTATAAACAACTTTCTAAACTGATGAAATGTCAGTGATCTGAACATTTGTATTCAGTGATGTATTCAAAAAACCTGAACTAGATCAATTGTAGCGTACTTGAAATTCTTCAAGAACTCATTGATATGAACGGTATATATTCCTATTCTCTGAGAATAGATGGTGGCTGCCATAGGATGTATTCCTTAGCGGTTTATACGAGGTCTTTCGAGTGACACTTTGTATCCAGTTAGCATAAAACTCTCTAGTACAACTATCACTTAAAGCTCAGTCAAGAGCAGAAAAGGAAA